AAGAACAAATTAAAGGCAAGTGGCACAATAAATCCCTGAAAGGTGCAGGGCTAATACGCCTAGCAGGACAGATTTCGGCGTCCCTGAGCAGGCGTGCGTGTCATCTTTTTCAAAGAACGTACACCCATAACGCCCTGTCGAAGCTGCAACACACCGACCCGGACGTCCACCGCGCCCGCCCGCCCACAAGTCCTACCGATGATGATGCTCGCATCGCTTCATTTGCGAAATACATTCGTCATCCGGGCACTTGATTAGGCTGGCCAAGGGTCGCGACGCGGCTGCAGCGCGTCACGACCGCGGCGATCAGCTGTTTCCAGCCTAATTTGGCCATTTTCTCCCTAATTTTCACTGTATTTTCTATTTTTTGAAGGTTAGTTGTTTTATTGTCTTTATGAAGTACATTAGGACGTGCAGTCTTTTTTTGTCTTTGCAAAAGTGTTTTTGCGTTTTTGTCAGGTATTTGTTCAACTGTCTGCCTGTTTAATTGTACGCAAAAATCAGAAGAATCTCAATCATAATTTACCTTGTGAAGACAAGGAACAACTAATCTTGAGAAAAGCAGCCAAAACAGTGTAAATTAGGGAGAAAATGGCTAAAATAGGCTGGAAACAGCTGATCGCCGCGCTCGTGACACGCCGCAGCCGCTTTGGCCGCTAATCAAGCGCCCGGATGACGATTGTACTATGAAGTGAAGGGGTTGATATGAAGCGGCTGCGGGTGCTGCATGAATATATGGGTACATACAGTCGTGATCCGGTGACTTGGGCGGCAAGGGACGCGACGCGGCTGCGGTGTGTTGCGAGCGCGGCGATCAGCTGTTTCCAGCCTATTTTAGCCATTTTCTCCCTAGTTTACGCTGTTTTGGCTGCTTTTCTCACGATTATTTTCTATTTTTTTGAGGTTAGTTGTTCTATCGTCTATATGAAGTATATTAGGACGAGGAGTGTTTTCTTTTGTTTTGCAATAGAGTGTTTTTGCGATTTTTTTCAGCTATTTGTTCATTGTCTGCTTAACTGTTTAATTGTACGCAAAAACCAGAAGAATCTCAATCATAATTTAACTTGTGAAGACAAGAAACAACTAATCGTGAGAAAAGCAGCCAAAACAGCGTAAACTAGGGAGAAAATGGCTAAAATAGGCTGGAAACAGGTGATCGCCGCGCTCGCGCAACACACCGCAGCCGCGTCGCGTCCCTTGCCGCAATAATCAAGTCACCGTATAACGACTGTGCATGCGGCCTTATCTACCGCAGATTGACACGATGCCAACGGGAAACTCATCCAAAAATCGCTCTCTGACATGTAGAACAACGGCTTTTTTGCAGGTTTTCGACCATCACACTTAGATTTTTCACCATTTTCCCCACTCAATAGCACCTCTGCTATCATTTTAGTCCGCATACCAAACTACTGTGCCTATGCCTTTGAAAGCAACGTTAAACTAACGGTATAGTTGGCATTGGGACCAGGCCTATAGTTCCTTTTTCCACTTCTAAAACTACTTCACCGTTCAGTGGTAGATCGTGCATATTGTCAGCGGAGATGTCTTCCTGTAAAAATGAATATTACAACACTTACAATTTGTATGAGACTAAGGAATCCTTGTCAAAGAGTTTGTATTAGGTGGACCTATATTCACATTTTCAGATTCTTGAGTGCGTGCTGAACCTGTCATACTAAGAGTGAAGCGGTGAAACAAACCGGTGTATATGGGAATGACTTGTCCGGATCGATCCAGAACGGCAACCATGTCGCAAAGATTTATTATCTTCATTCTTTGTCCAAGAGTTTTTGACCCATTCATAGCGTAGCCATATTCCTCGAGCAAGCTCTGAAAAAAACGAGCATTTGCTTAGGGACTGCCGCCCGCCCGCCACATGTAGTGGTCATCCTTCCTTGTGCAAGTAGCTCCGTGCCGCTCAAGCTAGTGTCACATCTCACGACTCCCGCAGCCGAGCGATATGGAGCTCCACCGCTGATAAGTTCTAGTCTTCTGTCACGCACCGCCAGTTGGACCGCTCTCGACTTGTCTAAGGCCCTCTAGACGGAGACGCTCTGCTGTTCTCTTGTGGGGCGGCGGGCCATTAACCAAAAACCGCGCAACCGCACCGCCTTTTCGCTGACCGCGTTCGTGCTCATGAATGGTTCTGCTTTCCTTCATTACATTTTATTCATTAGGGGCATATACATTCAATTCAACCCATTTCGCAAGGTGAAAACCGCGTAAAATCACGAGGTGCAAGCAATTTTTGTCGGGGTGCAAGAAGCCTCGACGAAAATCCACTGACACTAAATATCGCGCCACCGTAAGCCCAAGAATTTGGAGTAACCAAGTTTATTAGAATCTCTTATTTCCTGTTCGCCAAGGCGTTTTTTCTTCTCCGCCTTTTTGTTGTTTCTTTTTGTATTCTTTTTTGCACTGGATTGATTGTCACCTACCACTACTGCCGAGATGTGTGATATACCGAGATTTGTGAGCTAGGGGTTGTCACAGGGGACCGCAGGAGGGCAGTCGACGGTGGAGAGCGATTTTTGTTCACGTACTGGTCTTGTGGACTCTTCGTTGCGGTGTTTTTCTTTCTTAGGCGGGATTACTTTATAAACACCGCTGTTTCATAATTGGAAAAGCAGCTATCCATGACACTTTTATCGCGGGAGCTGTCTTTAAAGGCAATTCCCGCGACCACACTTCATAGGTAATACAGTTCAAAAATAGAATTGCCGTGTGTTTGTTGACTTATTGAAGAGAAGGAAGCACGAAAAAGCGCCGGAATAAGACCCTCTTTATTGCAATTGATCATGATCACCGGACGAGCGTAAGGTGGTCAAGATCAATTGTGAATTGCGAAAGGCGGCGATACACTGATAAGAGACGAGAGAGGCCAGAAAACGACGGGCGAGAGAGCGCAATGGCAGTCTCACAACGACACGGTCACTGGAGGCCGGCATGGGCCTATCGGGCGCAAATGGGCCTAAAACCTGAGCGCCCTGCGTTTTGCTTGCTGTTTTTCAACTTTTAAAAGCGGTATAGCCTCTGACGTTGCCTGCTTGACCATCGTGCACGCTTATGAGAACCTAGCCTTAGTTTATCGCGGAACGTGCCTATGCCTTCACGACGCCATGTGCGAGATGGCCATGTTCGGTGCAGAAGATATAGCGCTGTAACCATTCGAAAGCGCGCAGCAATGAAGCCAGAGCTTCGTTAGGCTGCTATTCGTTATGGCTTCAACCGCCAGATAAGCGACACGCACCATACGCCACACGGCCAGCAATCCGCAAGACCACATCCACGCGGCTCTGACTGTGTTCACACGGGTTGCCACATGATGAGCTTATAGTCTGCTCATCTCGTATCATGCTATCACCAAACTGCAGCTCGAGATCCACTTGCACATGAAGGACCGTGCTTGGAGATGAGTGTCAATTGTCATTGAGCTATCATTGGTAAATGAATAAAACCTACAGTAGTTGGAAGTTGCGTAGGTACTTCGGTGATCCAGTGCCCAGAGAAAACCTACAATTTTTAGGGAATTGCTTCACGAAACTACCTTTCCTATTATCGTGAGACGTTGAAGATAATCAAATGACCTCATTTATGCCATTTTTCCGTTGGAGGGCTTGCGAGACTCGTCCCTGCGGGTATATGTCTTCACCGCGGCTAAACTCAAAATTTTCCTGAATTATGGAAACATATAGCCATCACATAGAAAAACTTTGGGTCACAGTAGAAATATGAAAAAGTAGCGGATGGTGAACCTACGTCTCTTTCAGCTTCCCGTTTGGCTTTAACCTTACTGATGAATCTTCTCAGTGCTGAATCTCGTATGGGCCTACTCACGAACGTTTTCATTTTCCGAGTAACTCTACCGCTAAAATTGCGAATGCGATCTGAAAAGTTTCCCGTCAAACTACAAATGCACTGAAAACTCATCGCTGTTCGGATTAGAGGGGCCAGTTGTACTTCTGCTAGTTTCTTTTGGCAGTTCACGTTAACTAACAAAAGACTAACAGAGTGAGACCTGTAAACTCTTGTGAAAAGGAGCAAATTAGCCACTTCGAGAGCAGGAATTCACAGGTATTCGCAAGATGGTCTGTGCAAGCTTTGCTGAGTACAACTTTTTGCCCCCACCAAGCCAAACTGCGCTCTGAGACTTGGTGATCAAAGTAAAGAAAGACAGAACATTGAGCTGGTAACTGCAGAAATGATAAAGGTGTCGCCGTTAATCAGTCTCTTAAAGACAGCGCCCGCGATGGACTTTGGCAGGTTTCAGGGGTCACATTTGCTAGAACAGGTGGCCAATGAAGCACTAATCAAAAAAGCAGGAAAAAGGTGTGGAAGAGCGTGAAATAAGACCCTATGAAATTTAAGGCATGTGGACGAGTTCGCAAACTTCTGGTGAGTTCTCCAATACACGTCGCCGCCTCGGAACTCTAGAAATTCAGCGTATATCAATGCCAGCAAGCATTGATAACTGTCAACCAGTCGGGGCGGGATTAACAGGACAGGAGGCGTCAGCCCGGCTCTGTTGACTCCGCCCTCGTCAACCAATCGATTTCGAGCCGCAAGAGTGGGATTTCTGCTGTGATTGCGGACTCCGCGTTCGTTTTCAATGGAGGGTTTTTTCACTTTGGTTGATCGCGGACGCTGCCTTTATGCGATGCGGCACCCATTCTACTTCGATTCAGAATCATAGTGGTTTATTGAATGCGATGTGGCCTATACCTAGCGGGACCAGCCGATGTACAAGTCAGTGTTTTTATCCTCCCAGACGAATCTGGTACCAATTTACCGTCCCGGAGGGTAGAAGGCTTGGTTGGCCTGGGCGGGAGTCGACCTGGGATTTGAACCCAGGAGCGCACGAGTGGTAAGCGCGCCACTTGTCACTAAACCACCTCAAATGGTACGATAAAGTAATGATATGATAGGGAACACGAACGGATTTCTCAAGTGCCCCTTCTGTGGTGACTTTAGCAAACTGGTACCGTACTGTTGTGCCTTTGGATTCTCACGAAACTGACGATTACTTGAGGAGAGCGTCTCAAAGAGGACCAGACGCTGTTCAAAACAAATCGGAGAGTTTTTCGAAGCAAACTCAACGCATTCTTGGCACTGAACGGTTACTCAACGAGATCCCCAATAGACACTTGAAGGCAGTTGGCACGATAACCCTAGACGACTAGGATCAATACTCCTGGCAGGATAGAATTCCGCGACCCTGGGCAGGCGCTGCATAGCGGTTCCCCGAGGAAGGTGCCCTTATAAGGGCCCTATCAAGCCACAACTTTACCACGCCCGCCACGCCCGCCCGCCCACAAATGGACGACCGTTCCTGACGCTCGTATTCATTCATTTGCTAAGCAAATTATGAAGCGAAGGGATTGGTATGAAGCGGCCGTGATGCTGCATGCGCATACATGGGTACACATATGCAGCCGTATCTTCGGTAGCGGTGATTGGCAAGATGCCTACGGGAAACTCGTCCGAAATCGATTTACAAGTCACTGAGAACGGAGGCTTTTTCTTCGCAGGATTTTGACCGTTTCACTCCGTTCTTTCGACAAGCAGAGAGCGTAGTCATCCGAGTTGAATTACTGCACATACTTGGGTAGCGTTCAGGACTTCGCGAATGCAGCATTTTGATCGCGCGTTCAACGCGATCGATGCACATGCTTTCGACTGCATCGCCGCCGACGCGAACTCTGAACGCTGCCTAAGGACATACCCCGCGCCCACTCAGTTGATGGGCACCCTCGTCCATGCAGTCCAATCCACAGACTCAGAGAACTCCATTTTCCCGACTTCACAGTGATTCTCTCACATCTTCATCTCTCTCAGCGGACCGGTCCCTACTTACGAATGCCCCCATTACACGTGACGCAAGTACCCTCAATTGTTGCTTTGTGGAGCAAAAGGGCATATATCCGAATGGCGTGTCCATTTTTGCTGACCGCTCTAGTGCTCATTTGTAATTCCGCCCTCTCTAATTACATTTTTCATTAGACGCGCATAAAGTCAAACGCTAACCAGAGTAGCCGCACCCGGTGAAGAGTCGGCCACCCCGCCCACCTGGCGACCACTACGCCCAACTTCATTTCTAATGGTTGCCTGATGGTGCGGTTGTTCTGCTACTAACTCTCTCCACTTCGAATGGTGAGAGTGAGGTGATAAGAGCAGCTGATACCAACAAGTGAGAACTCGTGCGGCCGCGCCTTCTCTTCGCCTTGAGCACGTACAACCTCAGCTCGGCGTGGGGTCCTATATAGGGCATATCCGATGATTTTTTGCATTTTTCTTCACTAATGAACTACTTGCTACCTTGCTTGTCACTGTCTGAGCCCCATAACTCATCAAATTGAACGCGGGCACTGCCTAATGTATTTCGCTCTGGATGATGAGGAGAAAGTGAGCCAGAGGGGCAGGATATCGTTTTGCTATCATGAAACGAGCAGGTACGGGAAACCCGTATAGTGAGGCTTCCAGGGGATACTTGCAGTATTTGGTTTTTCCGATTCTCTCCCCCCCCCTGAACAGCCACTTATCGACTATAGGTTTGGACTGAGCGCCACCACTTACGAATGCAATAGCTGGTTTCGTCTTTATTTTGTGTGAAGAGGGATAATGAATATCTCAAATGATTTGTTGAAACACTTTTTTTCTTTTTTTTCCGAGAAAAAAATTATTGTTCTGCATGTCAAAGGTTTTGCAAACATTTGTATAACAGAATGACAACACATTCTTTGATTGAAAAAACATACGCCTGCTCGCAGTTGATTTTTCGCTTTCAGAACGCTGGCTGAAAAGAACAGGTGATGAAGATCTTTATTACTCAGCTATGAAGCAGAATTTGTGCGTGGGAGTCCGCTAACACCACAAGTGTGGGTTTCAACCAGCATGCCGTAGCCCTTGGATGAAGTCGCAGATAAAATTCAGCCCAGGTCCCTCTAAAACAAACAGTACGCTTACCTCCGAAGACGGTCTTTGCCACTTGCAAAGCAAATAAATCCGAAGCTGCAGTAGCATGCCACTCCCTCAATATGCACGGGAACGGAACTGTAAGGTAGTGTACCCAAGTGCCGCCACCATACTCTGCTCGTGCTATTCTCAATATGCAGCAATTGCGTCGATGCCAAAATCCCGCAGCGTACACACAGTCGCGGTAGTGAGCAAACAGGTGTGAGAGAGCGCAGACAAGTGGCGCACATGGTTATGGTTAGAGTTGTGCTTGGCCTTGCGGCCAGGGCACGCCATCGTTATAATGATCACAACAGGGGGGAGTCGTACCGCAGGACCCTTTCTGAAGTGAGGGTGCAGCGATACTCAGATGTCGTTCAGCTTCAATGATGAAAGACTTATCCATGTGAAGAACCCCTGAAGAGACACACACAAGACAGAAGCAACCTGTCCAGCGCAGAAGTGGGGAACGGGCGATGACAAGAAATACGATGACCGCCTACAGTGACGTCATGAATTAATAAGCAAACCAAAGAGCCCACGTGACGATCAATAAACAGATGAAAGTTTACTTCCTCGCAGGAGCACATGTGCTTGCACTTAGGAAGCCCTATCTAGAAGTTGCACCTTCCCAACACCTCTGCGTGAAAGCCCTATGCATGGCGCATACAGAGGTGAT